GGGAACAATCAGCAAAAGCCAAGTTGAAAGATGGTTCAAGAGGTTCAAAACGCCATATTTACCGACCGAAGCTCCTACAGACTACCACTTCAATCAGTCGTTGAAAAACTGGCAAACGAACAAACGACGAGCTGGATGACTTGGTGGCCGATGTTAGAGCGTGGATCGTCTCAAGAATCGTGACTTCTTCACCCGTGGAATCGACCGACTGCCAAGCAAATGGGAAGCATTCTTGAGGGTGGTGACTACGCTCCGGAATAATCATTTAAACATGTTTTTGTAAATATTTTTACCGTTCTCGGTGAATAAAATTTGTTGAAAAAACCGCATTAATTATCCATCAACCCAATAGTAGGGTCTTAGTTTTTCAATTGTAAATGCAGCACCCTTGCCAGCAAGGATTACATCGGTGTTGTGATAGGAGCTTTGATTGTGTGCGAAGTCAAAGGTAAATGACTAAACGAGGTGGCATATGAACTCCTGCCTTCCATTTTTCTACGTCAATCGTTGATCTTGGCATGCAGCAAGGCTTGCGGACATGTGTCAAACCACGAGTTTGTTCTGACCAGTATCCGTGCTCTTTTTTAGAAGCGGTGTGTTTTATTGGGTAAGCTACGATCTAAGTGCTTCGAGCCGACATCTGTTCCATAATACACCAAGCTGTTCAAAATGTCGACCGAATAAAGAAGCTTGATCCGAACAACCAAAACAAGATCAGCAATTAAACATGCCCATGTTTCAAAAAGGCCAAATACGGAATAGCTTATTAACATTTTTCAAAGCTCAGCATGAGTTGTTATGGGCAGAGACCTCAGGTAATTGCCTTCCAGCAGACAGAGTTAATTCAAACATGGCTTGTTATACTTTTTTCGATTATCCCATAGAACATTTTCCTTTATTATTACAATTTTAATGTACTCAATTTGTTAGCAGAAATGGCGCGCCAGGTTGTGGCCTTGTCAATGTGCCTTTGTTTTTACACAGATGAAGCAGTGCACGACTGTGCACTTTTTGCTGTTCTCGTTCCTCGAAAGCTTGGTTGCCGCTGTGAGAGTTTCAAAGTTTTTTCGAGGTCACTTGTCTGGAGAATCGGCGTTACCCTGCCTGCCACGACGAAGATGGCTCAGAGGAAATGTCTAAGACTAATGTCAGACTTTGCGACGATTCGCTAGCAAATCGCTAGATACTAATGGAGCTGTGTACCAGCGGATCGAACTATGTGCAAATGACACACTGTTTAAAAATGGCCGGACCGGACGTCGTTCGTTCCGCTGGTGCTTTATTTCGCTAGCGAATCGCTAAATTCGTAAAGTCTGACATTGGCCTAAGGGGGACCTCGATACGACTCCTCCACCCTTGCTTCCGGGATGAGACGACCACATCTTGTGTCGAAACTGTCGCTGGATCTAGTAACAGACGTACCCCACCGTTCCCAAAATTCATGCCACTGATGATGTTGTTTCAGCTCTCATACTAGAAAGGTCATTCAGAGCGTGCCAAGTACTTTCAATATGGTCTTTGCATGATGTACGGGTACATGTGGTAATCACGAGATATTGTTCATTTCTTCCTGAACGGCTCCCCGAATACCAAAAAAGAGGCTAAAAAGAATTGCCTTGGGAATTGTCGTTTTCATTGCCTAATTTTCGTGTATATCGTCCACAGTCTAGTGTCATATCAAAAGGACCTCTTAACCGTACACTGAAAACACGCGAAGTTCGGGTAGCATTTGTGATCAGGGCATCGTTTTATCTCTACGACCGAAGTTTCGACTAAAATCGAAGCTATTAAGTTGTTTTCAAAAATTCGACCCCCCGGATCGCCTGGCGACGTGCTCATCGCGAAAACACGGATGCGAGCTCCTCGAGGAGATCGCTTCCAAAGCATCCACCTTCAAGCCTGGCGGGATACTGAACCCGTTCAGCTGTTGGAATTGGGTCAAAATCTTAATTTGCTCTGGAACTTCGGATATTAGGTCATCCAGTGCCTTGATTACGAATATATGTAGCTCTCGTTTTTACGACAACATGATCTGGCTTGTGTTTGGCACCATTAGACACCACTTTGGTGCCGTTTTCGTGTCGCAGCTTTTTTCACCAGTTCTTTTTTGCCAAAGACTACTTGTACTGGTTACTCATGACCTCAATTATGAACATCGCATACATTCTCAGTGCTGACGCTGTTTTGTGCGGATTTTGATGCCAACTCAAAATGAAATTTTGTCATCGGAAGAATCGATCCACGGACTTCTTTATTTCATTTTTTGGTATCAGAGTCTGTTTAGGAATAATAGACAGTTGCTTTTATTGTTAGCGATCCAGTGGCGTTCCTTACCGTTTCGGAAATTTCTTTCTCCAGAGCACTGTGTAATGGTGAAAATTGCAGGGAGTGAGTAAGCCTTTTGCAAGACTCAGTGCCACAACAATCTACAACGTTCTGAACATTACTATTTTCTTTGAAAGTTACATGGGTGGTCTCCACAGCACTTGTGGCACACGTGATATCGTCCCTTACGAGAAGAATATCAGCAAGTAAGCTCACAACTATTTTCCTACGAAGTTAATCCGCTACTTTGTACATCTCAGATGAAAACGCTACGTCGGATATCGAACATTTTTTTACTCTTTGGTTTGTACTGCCTTTCTATTTGTCCCAGTTGCTCTCTGAATTACTACTTCCTTGCTATTTACTTTGAACGTTCCATTTGTTTTGATTCTTCAATCAAAATTCCTTCTTTTGATTGCACCTTTTTTACTTTGCATGACTCCACACACAACCTTGTCCAATCCGTTTATGAATAAAATAATAATAACAGTTGAGAAATTGCTTACTCCCCCATCACCCACCTGCAACACGTAATTATCAATCCTCTTTTGTCCTCTCGTCAAGTATGGCTACATTTTTTCTGATAATACCTCGGCCGATTCCAGGACTCCCAATAGCTCATTTCTCGAACACGTTTCTCTTTGTATCATTCTCAGGTATTCAACACCTTCAATCAACCGCTTCCCAGTTTGTAACAAGCACTTCAAACTCGATCGATTCTTCTAGGTATCCAACCAGAGCAGCACTGGATCCTGATACGGTGCCTTGGTTAACACGTTGACGACATCGCGCGTTTTGGCCAAAACAGCCGCGTGGGACCGGCGCAAGCTGTCCCACGCGGCTGTTTTGGCCAAAACGCAAGCGCCGCCGCATCACCTGTAACCGTGAATTTCGAGCTGTAAAACTCGTATACGACACAGTGTTTCCATTAATATTCAATGTGATCAGTTTATCGGGAGTTACAGTAATGGAAATTCGATTGAAGTGACGTGTTATGACTATGAGAAGGCTAAGTTTTCGTACTTTTGCTCTAGTTGTTCCGAAATTATTTCGCTGTTTCAATAAGAACGTATACCTTGTCATGCGAAGAGGTTTTGTATTTACTTCTATCATTCTTTTTTACCTACATGTTTACGTTAATGAAAAGAAAACGAGGAATGAACTGAACTGACATTTTTGTAAGGTCTGGAAAACCTCTGCCAAACTGAAGATTATTTAGCCATTCTCTAACACACATGGTTTTTTATTATGTTAAGGTATGGCTAGGGAATGATCACAAAAAACTTGGGAAGTAGTCGAACAAAAACAAATGTAATGAGTGTGGCATACGTAGTCGCCACAATGTCCAACGCGGTGCAAAATATCTGTATCCAGTTGCCGCGCTGTCGTCAATGTGTTGAAGGTGACCTGAAGGAAGCGATTTCAATAAAGAGGGAGCGCATCGCAGAAGTATATACCATGCAAAGCAATTGCTTGGCTGCCTATGCAGGGAGCTGTGGAACTTTCGCGTCTAAAAGATACGCTAGTTGCCGAGCAGGGCACCCTACTTTCTTCACGAGTTGGGGCGCGGCCTGCGCGCAAACCCGCGGCGTTCGCGGCCGAGTAGAGCGGCATCAGCTTGCCTGAGTATTCGACGTTACATTACGTGTTAGTTCATCCGATCGTAACGACACGTAATGTAACGTCGAATACTCAGGCAAGCTGATGCCGCACTACTCGGCCGCGAACGCCGCGGGTTTGCCGCGCCCCACATCGTGAAGAAAGTGGGGGAGCCGCTGAGCAGCACTTCGAAAGCACCCCGCTCTGAAAGCGACACACCCACTAGCTTAATTGGTGATTTGGACAAGCTGTGTCTCCAGTAGCGGCATAAATGGACCAACTTTACAGGAGCATGGATTACCATGGCGCCACCATACGCTTGCTTTAACTCGTCCACACCCCCCTCCCCCGTCGTAGCCGCTGCCCGTCCTTAGCAATGAAATCAACGGCCAAAGAGCAGGTCCACTTAAAGTATGACCGGCTTCGTCTGACATGATTTGAAGTGCTCTGCTGCGCTTCATTGTCACCACCAACGTAAGCTGTTGCGTCGAGGGCATTGATTAAGTCAGTGCATTCACCTCTTGACAGTCCTATATCTGCCTCTTAGCCCTCCCATTTTGGATTTTTTTAAAATTAAAAACTTCGATTATTTTATGGACTCTTTTGAAAAAAGAAAATGCAATATTTTTTTATTTGACAACTCCGAGTTCCACGCCAACTACATACAAGCCCGTGTCCCTCATCCCAGCAAATCAAATGCCCCCACCAAGCGTTCCTTGAAATGCATGGACGTCTGGTTGCTCCTTTCATGCCCTGAGTTCTTCTCACTCAGAATAAGGGCTTCTTTTATTAATCCAGAAGATGTTTTTCTTCAGGCTTGATACAATTCGATCATCGAAGGCTGGACCAGCTGATGTGAAAAACGCCGGGCCGTGCAGCCGCAACATTCCCCTTCCCTCAATTCAAAATGAGCGATGATAAGAAGCAAATATTACAGAAGCATTTCCGAGCTACAGTGAAAGGTAGGTCATTGTTTTTGTTCTATTCGTCGAGCTCTTCAATTAGCTTCACGCATTGTCTGAATCATGTCAACCATAAGTCACCTGTACAATCACGTAAAACTGGAACAAAACAATTCATAACAGCTGAAACATACGGATTATATGTACGGTATCGTAGCCATGTGGTGGAAGGAATGCGAAGGGAAAGGAAAACCAAATTGAGACTTGTGTTCAACTACTACTTGCGAGAAGGGATGAAACACAGAAATTCCTTAGCATGGGGGTTATAAATGAACTGATGATTATCATAAGGTTAGATTTCCATTCATACATAAACATACGGAGATGATCAGAACCACGAATAGCATGAACACTAAATATTATAGATTGACAACAGGTACGGAAAAAGTAAGTACATATTCTAAATTTTGACCAAGCTCCAAGAAATCACTGTCACCTTTGGAAGTTGGAACAAAGTTATCTAAAGAATTCGTGGGTAATGCCCTTAAACGGAGCTAGTTTATTGAGCATTGCAAACCATGAGTAATATTAGGTACCGGATATCTTAGTGTCGTTTTTTCACCGCGAGTTTCGGACCACCAATATTTTAATTCAAAATCCAGTGAGTGAAACGGCATATCCATCGAATGACTCATTAGCCCTTTCCCATTTACCAGTATGAGTGAAAACCTCGTACGATTAAAGTTAGGAATTTTTTGAGACGAAAAAGAGAGGTAGGTCGAATTTGACATCATCTGACAAATCATCCCTCTACCTTGCTAAACAGTTGGGCCTGGACAAAATATGTATACATTTAGTTAGAGTAGGGTCTGCACTGTTTGGTGGAAAATTTATTACTTACCAGCTCAACTGGACAATTTTTCCCGGAGTCTTTTTTGCCACGTGGGTCAAAAACGCACCCTTTTTGAGCACACGTGAGTAGCAGATGAGCACATTTATTAGAATTTCTTGGTCAATCAACTTCGTTAGAGCGTCTGTGCACCATCGATCAGTAACTGCTAGGGTGTCCTACCATTCCAGCACAAGACTGGTGCAGCCCCGTTTTGACTGATTTAGCTAGGACCACCTTTTTGGCGACGGTTGCGGGCATCCCTTCAAAGACTTTACTGTCTTTTAAGAAAACTGTGAAAAACCGATGAGCATTTTAAATGGTAGTATTCCCTCCAAAATGCAATGTTGGTTTGGTGGGCGGAGGTTACAGCTCTCAGCAAGAATTTTGAAGCATTTGGTACACACATGCGAATTTGCACACTGGACCCAGGAATTTTCAGAAAAAGTATAAAAATTGGGGGAAAGTTAAATTGTGAACCAACAATAGAAACGGTAAGCAACATATTTCGCAGTATTAATGAGCAAAAACTGCCTTCTGGGATATTGATTTTCCATAGTAATCGGCCCCAAAACTTCCTGAACTCAGAAAAGCGACACTAAGATATCCGGTACCTAATATTACGTGGTTTTATTCGCTTTCCTTTGATATGCGATAATTTCATTTTTTTGCGAGTCGGGTATCCCACAAGGATGGTACATCGAAGTGACCTCTCGATACATATGTCACCTGAGGCCAACACTGGTCTCAAATCTGTATTCCATATCTGGTGACCGACAGTCTGAACAGTGTCACAGAGGTGCTGTATTACGTAGAAGGCTCAACCTTAGCACGAATACGAGACGCCTCTTTGATAGTGTTGGGAGCGGTGGCTTGGCCATGCTATGCGATCTAATGTTTGCAGGGCCAAAGTGCCTGGAAGTTCTTTCCATCCGTTTGAAAACGCCTTTTGCTTTGTTAGGAAGCCTAATCGGCCGAAAACTGCTCTTTACAAGGTAATGATTCCATCAAAATCTTCACGCACGGTCACTTCTGATCGCTTGTTTTTTCAGCAAATAACTAGTCGAAACGTTTGCCTATTGGGGTAATTCGATGCCCTGATTACGAATATGACATTCATTTTTGATGCTGGTGTCATTTGGCGCCAATTGGCGCCAAAGACGATTTCGCGTTTTTTTCGTTTTTTCGTTATAAATCGGTTTAAAATTAAGATTTTCAAAATCTGAAAACAGCCTTGAACTCAGCTCGTCGAGATCTATAAGAATCCGTCCTAAAGTTTTCTAGCGGCACTACACTGGATTGCGCCATGCACTCAATTTTCATCTCAAAAAGTAGTTGCTCGTGTATCTAATCCCGCTTATGCGAGCTGACCGCCACACAGAAAGAAGGGTCTCAAAACATACCCCAGAATGCGCCACGTACTCAATCTCATCCACTACATTGTGAGATTAGATGAATGTTATTTTCCGAATTCTTAGATCTTCATTTCGTTTTTAAGCGCTTACTGGCTTTACGTGTTCCCTCTGCTCTCAATATCCCATCCTCTGTATATCAAGTGGAATCTTTGAACAGTTCTCAGCAGGCATAGTGGGCCTATTATGTGACATTTTCCATTTTCAGAGGAGATGTTTTGCAGAAAGCTATGAAGATAGCGAGGAATTATCTTCACCAGCGTAGACTACGGTGACTCTTCTGTAGGAACTGTATGAAAACCTTGGTCGAAGATGAGCGTTCCTTCCGTAGTAAGGCCCCAAACATCACACCTCGCCCCATTTTTTGTGACATGTTCCATGTTTAGAGCACATGTTATGTGGAAAGCTGTGAAGGCAGCGACGAATTTCCTTTACTGGCGTAGACTACGGTCACTTGTCTGTAGGAATTACATGGAAACCTTGGTGGCAGGTGAGTCTTCCTTCCGTAGTGTGACCCCAAACATCACACCTCGTCATGCCCTTGCGATATGATCAGATTTTTTTGGTTCTCCAGATGAACATAGAAGACTGAGATGTGCACCATTCAATTCCCCATAAAAAATACTGTCGAACGGTATACAACTCACTTTTGGAGAACATCTAGTTTACCTGCCACTAGATCCATTTTGTGACATTTCCCAATTTTTTCGAAGGGATGTTTTGAGGAAATTCGAGAAGGGAGGGACGAACTCTTCCCTATCGTAGAGTAAGTTTACTTGTATGTTGGAAAAAGATGATACACTCGGGCTTGAGCGAGTGTTTCTTCCCTGGTGTGGCCTCAAACATCGCTCTCCGTCATGCCCTGAAATAAAAACCAGATTTTTTGGTCTTCCAGGTGGCTCTACGGAGCTGTGGTGTACACCATTCGATTCTCCATGCAAAATGCTATCGAACGATATACATCTCAGTTCCCACTTAAAACTTTCGTTTTTCATCGCCTTTTCCTTATCGCCGATCGCCTTCCTCAGCCCTGGCCATCCACGTGCAATTCACGTGCGCGGTGCGTGATGACTTTCCCACGCACTTTCGACACGCATAGCGGTGTATCGATCGGGAATAGGGAAGAGAGGGAAGAGAGTTTATCCGATTTCCTCAAAACTTCCCTTCGAAAACTGGGAAATGTCACAAAATGGATCAGTGGCAGGTAAACTAGGTGTTCTCCACGAAGTGAGTTGTATACCGTTCGACAGCATTTTTTATGGGGAATCGAATGGTGCACATCTCAGTCTTCTATGTTCATCTGGAAAACCAAAAAAATCTGATCATTTCACAAGGGCATGACGAGGTGTGATGTTTGGGGTCACACTACGGAAGGAAGACTCACCTGCCACCAAGGTTTCTATGTAATTCCTACAGACAAGTGACCGTAGTCTACGCCGGTAAAGGAAATTCGTCGCTGCCTTCACAGCTTTCCACATAACATGTGCTCTAAACATGGAACATGTCACAAAAAATGGGGCGAGGTGTGATGTTTGGGGCCTTACTACGGAAGGAACGCTCATCTTCGACCAAGGTTTTCATACAGTTCCTACAGAAGAGTCACCGTAGTCTACGCTGGTGAAGATAATTCCTCGCTATCTTCATAGCTTTCTGCAAAACATCTCCTCTGAAAATGGAAAATGTCACATAATAGGCCCACTATGCCTGCTGAGAACTGTTCAAAGATTCCACTTGAAATACAGAGGATGGGATATTGAGAGCAGAGGGAACACGTAAAGCCAGTAAGCGCTTAAAAACGAAATGAAGATCTAAGAATTCGGAAAATAACATTCATCTAATCTCACAATGTAGTGGATGAGATTGAGTACGTGGCGCATCCTGGGGTGTTTTGAGACCCTTCTTTCTGTGTGGCGGTCAGCTCGCATAAGCGGGATTAGATACACACCACATGCGAGCAACTACTTTTTGAGATGAAAATTGAGTGCATGGCGCAATCCAGTGTAGTGCCGCTAGAAAACTTTAGGACGGATTCTTATAGATCTCGACGAGCTGAGTTCAAGGCTGTTTTCAGATTTTGAAAATCTTAATTTTAAACCGATTTATAACGAAAAAACGAAAAAAACGCGAAATCGTCTTTGGCGCCAATTGGCGCCAAATGACACCAGCATCAAAAATGAATGTCATATTCGTAATCAGGGCATCGAATTACCCCAATAGGCAAAGTTTCGACGAAAAATGAAACTTTGAGATTTTGGGGCAGTAATGTGTGCCCAATCCGGCAATAGGGGAAGGCTGAAAACGGTGAAAAACCAAAGTTTCAACTGGGGGAAGTAATGCATATCATTCGATAGCATTTTTCACGGGGAATCTAACGGGGCACATTTCAGGTCTGCGAGTTCATCTGGAAATGCAAAAAATCTGAACTTTCCACAAGGGCATGACGAGGAGGCATGTTCACAGCCGCACCACGGCCACAGCACGGCGGAAGCGCTCGTCTACAAGCAAGCGTATCATCTCATTTCTACACACAAAGTAAGCGTGCTCTACAACAGTGAAGAGATTTCCCCGCTACCTCCCTCAGATTTCGGAAAAACCTTCGCTCAAACATTGGAAAATTTCACCAAATAGGCAATGGGCTATGACGAGGAGGCATGTTCACGGCCGCAGCACGGAGGCAGCGGTCATG